CATGGACTTGTGGATGTCAAGTTTGGACAAACGATCTCTAAGCTGATCCTCCTCCCCCAAGGGAGAGTCTTCCTTTCTCCAGACTTCCTCCCTGGTCTCCAGGGTCTGGAATTCCTGAGGGCTGGCCTTAGCAGAAAAGACTGAAGCAAAGGCAGCATTCAGCAACTCTTCCTCCTCTGTATCCTTTGTTACCAGGGCACCCGCTCCATTCAGCAGCAGGCCCACATTTTCCCTAGTCTTCCTTTTGCTATGGATGTATTTGCAGAAGCCCTTCTTGTTGTCCTTGACACCCCTTGCCAGATTTAATTGCAAGTGGGCCTTAGCCTTCCTTGTGGCATCCCTGCACACTCTGACAACGTCCCTGTGTTCCTCCCAAGTGGCCTGTCCCCTTTTCCACATTCTGTGTACTTCCTTCTTCTGTTGGAGTTTTGCCAGGAGTTCCTTGCTCATCCATGCAGGTCTTCTGCCCTCTTTGCTTGACTTCTTACTGAGAGGGATGCACTGATCTTGAGCCTAGAGGAAGTGATGCTTGAATATTAACCAGCTCTCCTGAACCCCCCTTTCCTTCTAGGGCCCTACCCCATGAGATTCCTCCAAGTAGGTCCCTGAGGAGGCCAAAGTTAGTTCTCCTGAAGTCCAGGGTTGCGATCCTACTTACTGTCCTGCTTCCTCCTCGTAGGATCCTAAACTCTACCATCTCACGGTCTCTGCGGCCAAGGCTGCCCCCAACCTTCACATCTCCAACCAGACCTTCTTTGTTTGTTAAACTTATTAGTGTATGTTGTCAGTGTTGTGGTCTCAGAGACCACGGTGCTGAAACATACGCTGCCAAAAGGAGAGTCTTATCTCATAATAACATAACTAGTATAATGAATGGCCATCAGTGTGATTCGGTAGCAATGGCTCAACCAGTTTTTGTATCTGACACTGGCATAGTTGTTGCAGTGATGTGTTAAGCACCTGTGATAGGGTATTGGTATTAAATGGTGGTGTTTTATTTGCCCCGCAGCTGAAGACTGATGCCAAATTCATTTTTGTAAAAGTTCCTAAAGACTTGGAGTTGTCTAATTCCTGTTTTGCCAAAAGGGCAGGCATCACAGGCTGGCTCCTTTGTTTGTCGTATAAAATCTGCAAGTGATAAATCTTACTCCAGAGGTCCTGAAATAAGCCTTTCATCTGTCCTTAAAAGCAGGATATTTGAATATTTCTTGCACTTACTTAGTGACTTTGAGAGTTCTCTGTAGGTCATTCCTGACTACTGCTAAATTTTCAAGGATGCAGTATTCCCAGCTCAATCTCTTTGCACCTAAATGTAGAGCCAATGTCAAACTGTGTCTAAAGAGGATTGCACATTTAAAGCCCTCAATCTCATTAAAAATAAAGACAGCAAAACTAAAAGGAGAAGCAGAAATGATGTCTTGTTAGAGCCTTTATGGGTCAGCATAGTTATATTCTTTTTCAGGCTACTTCCTTCCCAGAATCCAAAGCTAAATATTAAAAACATCAAACTGTTGTTAATCAGGGTTTATGACATCCCACAATTTTTCAGGACCAATGTGAATTTCAGTATTGGGTGCTACTGCTTTCTCCCTCTTTTCTTACTTCTTCAGGCCTTGCACATTTATAAACCCTTTAGAAATAGGTTAACCAAGGCATCAGCAGCAATTACCATAGGATCTACCAAGCTACACGTAACCTGGGAAAACAGACTAGAGATCAGTGCCGCGGGACAAACTGATAGTGATTTAAGCTAGGCTTCAATTGTGATGTCATCTTTGCTTTTTAATGTTTTGTTTCAGTTCTGGTAATGGGTCTGTTCTGTGTTACTTAAATTCTCATTTAGCACTCTCAGCTAGTAGTATCCAAGCACCTTTCAGGAGTACGTTAGGTAAGGTGATGGATATTAGCTGTATATGTTATCCTGTTCTGCACCAAAAGATATATGCTTAGGGGAGTCTGTTTGCTTGGTAGGGTTTTTGGTAGATAAGAGGGGCAGTTTGGATTTTTTGTTGTTTGTACATGTTGCTGGATTAAAGGCAAGATTGAAGAAATGCACCTAACTTGGGGCAGAGAACGGTTTCCTTCATAAGGTTTCCTTCATAATGGTCCTTAATTTATACAAATTGTATTTTTGTCTTTCACCAACCCTTGAATGCTGTGTACCTTTCATGGGTAACTTTGGTAACGCAGAGTTTGGTTGTGCTGGAGTAGGAAAGTTGTTGACCAAGGAGTTCATCCTGGAATTTTAGGTCTTCTGAGCATAGGCTCCAGAAAATCATTAATGTGAGGACTTGGATCTTGTTTACTCCAAATGCAATTTTATCACCTGCAATGAGTATAAGAGAAGTTTGATGGACTCAACACAATAGCCTTTGTTGCTGGGATGGACTGAGTTTTCCTAAATGTTGTTGACTCTTGTATAATTGAAGTAAGACATGAGTAACCAGCTGGAAGTGACTGTGAGACTAATGGATTTTATCATAGGACAACATAGTGTCACATTATAGGGATGCTTGCAAAATAGGTGCAGTGAAGGGTTTGAAAAAATCTTGCAGTAGTACGGGGAGAAACTTAGTAAACTGAAATCTTATATGGTTCTCTGGAGGATAGTAGCTATCTTAATTTAAGAACAGCTGGGAATTTAAGCAGCAAGGTGTGGATGTACTCATTTAATGTCTTCTTACGCTTATAGAAAATTATTTGGAAAATGGTACCATCGTTTTGCAGTGGTGTTGTCGACACCACTGGCTATATAAGAAAGCCAAGACAGAAAATGATCACCAGCCTTTTCTCTTAATAGGAATACCTTCTTTCCCTGAGACATTTGTTTGGAAAACAAGTGCTGTGTGTCATCAGGTTTCCATGTTTCACTTTCAAACTTGGGAGATAATAATAGACTTTGAAAGAGGTCTATCTCAGCTTCACTAAAATGTTAAATGTATTTAAAATTAGTTGACTCTCCTCTGTTTACATCAGTCTCCAGATAATAAATAAATATTGAGAGAACGTTATGATTTGTCAGGATAGAATGCTTTGAAATCCCTAAGAAGGGAGCGTTATTCAGTTGTTTAAACCCTGTGCAGTGCATCTAATGATTGAGTTTGACAAATAAGTAAATATTAATTTCTGTTACATTCATTTTTCAGAGTTCTAAGAACTACTTCAGACCCAGAGGCCCAGCTCTGACGTAGCAAAGTGAAATGAATGCGCTCATTAAGAGATGAGGGTAGAGCTGTGTTTTAGGTTACAACATGGTTTTCTCATGGTAAACCACCATTACTGCAGCTTGTAATTACTGAGTTACTGTGTGATAGTGAGATGCAGTAACTCTTTGAGCGTGGATCATGTAATCTGTCACTGGCAAATGGATGAACATATCTTTAGACTGGATCGCTAACTTATTTCATATCCTTGGGCAGGTAGAAAGGTAAGCTCTCTGAGTGTAAAATAGAAACAGTATTTTCCATATCAAGCTTAATATTTTTATAGAACTTTTGCAAATTTAGAATGGAAAATTTATCAAGTGCATGGTGTTGTAATACAGTCCTTATTGAGAGTAGTTGTCTTGATGAGTATAACTGACCTGTTGAATAAACTTCATCATCCCTTCTTAGCATGTGGCTAAACTTTCCCTTTCTTTCTTCTACAGGGAGGCAGAAATAGGAAGGCATATTTATATCAAAAGCACAAGATAAAGTATCTTATATAGTACTATGCATAGAAGTACAAGACAAATATTCTTGTCTGGGTCTGTCACAGCATGGATCCTGTTTAACTGTATTTTTTCATCGTTTCCAGCTTAACACTTAGGTTTAATTTTCACCATTAACTTTTGGATAGGATTCTTGAAATAGTTGTATTACACATCTGTAGAACTTGCAGACTTTAAAAGTTTGGTGTATTAAAAATACAGGTTTTTTTGTCTTTGTTCGTGTTTTTTTGTCTTTGTTCGTGTGCTTTTGTGGCTTTTACTGTTCACATTAGTTAGTACGTAGAGTGTTGATTTTTCAGAACCCTTAGTGAAGTACAGTAAGTAATACTGTCCCCGTTTCTGTAGATGGAGAAATGGGGCATCAAGAAGCCAAGTAACTTAGAAACATCATCCAGGCAGTTTGTGTTGAAACACGGACAGGAATTTACGTCTCTCACAGGTTACATGCACTGTTTGTGTCTCTTGAACACCAGCAGTCCTTGGTATTTATAGCCTAATTTGCTGCTTGTGAGAGTTCTGTGTCGAAGCCTGTGGTGCTAAAAGGCTGCCAGAGATTTCTATTGCATTTAAGTTCTGAATAGTTTTCTAAAAACAATTGTGATGAGTTTTGGTTTCTTACTTCTCCGTGTACATAATACAATCAGAAGTTTACACTGCTTCCTGGGAAACAAAATCTGTACTTTGCAGCTCTATTTCATGTTTTCATGGGTATCGTCTATCACCATCTAGAAATTAAAAGGTAGTAAAAATGCAAATAACAAGGAAAATTAAATTTACCTATGGGCCATTGTGAATGGCCCTACATACTTGTGATTCTTAATTTATCAATGTAGTTTTCGAGCAAATTGGCAACAATTAATATGAATAGAGTTCCTTCCAGTTGAGCAAAGGGAAAGCATTTTTTCTATCATGAGTCAATGTGGAATTCCTCACTTCACTGTGCTGAGCATGACAGAAAAATGTTCTAATACTATATTTCCGAAGAGAGTTGTCTTCGTTTGTACGCAGATGAAACTGGTAATTGTGGGTCAATATGGCTTAATTGTACTGGAGGCTCCTACTTGGCACAGGTGAAACTTTTAAATAGCTGTTTTAATAGCTGTTTTAAAGCTCCATCGTGGCTGCAGCGCTTCTTTGAATGTCTGTACAGGTATGCACGTATTTCTTCTCCCATATGCACTTCTCTGAAGTGTATCTTATTTTTGGACTATTTTGTCTTTTTCTCCCCGAAGATATAATTGACCCAGCTATCCTGCGTCCCGGTAGACTTGATAAAACTCTCTATGTGGGTTTGCCACCACCTGAAGATCGACTTGCTATTTTAAAGACCATCACCAAAGTGAGTATTTGGAAGTAAATCCTTATCTTGAAGGCTGGTGGGATGATGTGATACAAGTTAAATTTTATGGAAAAATTGCAGGACCCTGTCTCATGAAACGTTTTCAATTATTACACAAAGTCATAAAAATAAACCATCAGCCACATCTGCTGTTAAATTTGCTGCGAGACTGCTTGGGGTTGATAAATCTTGAATAAAGGAAACTTGCTAAATACGGAAATTGCTACCTTTATTGTTACAGTCTGAACAGATCCCTACTGGGCTTGGAAGTGTTTTGTATGTTGTGGGGGGAGGAGGAGTTCCCACGTGTTCAACAAAATGATTCACTAGTTCCAACTGTATTTGCTTAATGGTAATCATGACACGTAATTCCCTTTGGGGTCACTGGGATTCTTGTACACGGTAGAGGTGGTAGGTCAAAGTAAATGTGAAAGTTTTTAAAATACCTCTCTTCCTGGATCCTCTTTGGGTTAATGGCACATTCTGCCATGTATTGAAACTTGGATTACAGAATTATATTCCAGTATTTTTCCAAGTTCAGTACAGCAGTAATCAAGCCTAAGAAATTAGTCAGATATTTCGTTCTTTTTCTAACAGGTAGTATTGAGAGTTATGAGCAAGCGTTCTATCAGATTGTCATGAGCTGCAAAGGACACCAAGTCTTGGCTGTAGAGAAGAGGTAGAACTTCGTTATGCACAGTGTGGAAAAATTATATTTTTACAAATTTGCTAAAGAAACTCCCTCAGACTTGCATGAGAAGAAAATTATGGTGTAGGCAATAGTTAATGCTATGGGGAATTCAGAAGGCGAGGATGCCTTCAAGCATGCCTTTCATGCCATGATAATTGTTCAAAAGTCAGGCTCTCATTACCAGTTCAGGATGTTTGACTTGCCTTTAAAACATTCTGTGTATGGCACTACTTCTTCATGAAGGAGAAAAATAGTAAGTATGCCCCTTTGCCATAAGCAGTAGATAAGTTTACTAAGTTCAATAAGAAGGTTTTTACTAAAAGATTTTGTTTGTTACAACCCCATTCTGGAAGATATTGCTTTTTAAAACACTAGAGCAAATTTCCGAGTGTTGCTTCCATGAGTCGTTTTTCGAATATACTATGGAGAATTACACTTTTAATTTTGCCAATTTATTTTTGAACGTAGCTTGTAAAGTATTCTTTGAAAATGGGGCTTATATGATTTTTCTGATTTAATAAAAACAGCCTCCTTTTAAAAGGAGTGGGTGGTGATGGTCAGTCACTAGACTATGTGTAAACAAAGCGGAAGGATTTTCTGTGAGCTAAAGAGTTTACATCTGCTTTGTATGTTTTTTGTTTGTTTTGTGGTTTTTTTTTTTTTACATGTACAAGAGTCGAGTCTTGCTCTCTCTAATTTTTGCTGGAAAATCTTCAGAGATTTGTAACTGTTTCAAGTGCTCTTACTGTAGTTAGTGGTGTAGGAAATTAGTGCAGCAAAGCTTTGTGCAAGACTTTATGAGAGAGGAGGGTGATATTAAAGAAAACGGATTCCGCTCGCTCACACTCACAGCCAGAAATAATCGCCAGGATGCATGCATCCAAGTGGTATGGCCCGGATCACTTATGTGCAACACAGTACAAGAAATTCTGGCTGTTGAGTCCTCACTGCTTATCTTGCCTTCCTCTTGATTGGCAGTGATGAGCTCATTCTTAGAGGGGATCGTTTTTTAGACTCCTTTTAAGAATCAAGCAGTTCTGAATCTCCCTTCAGCTGCCATAAATCTTGGGCAAGGTTGCTGCAAATTGTCTTTGTTCCCTCATTTTGGGTATCATTAAGGCTATAATCTATCTTCCTGTTGGCATAACACCAAGAGGAGTGGCATGTGTGATGCTTGTCACTATCCTCCTGTTATCAGAGCACAGGTCTTCTGCTGACAAGCCATCTTTGCTGTGGCATAATCGGATCATAGGCCTCCTTGTGTTGAAACAAGCAACATATTCCACGGTGTTTACCAGGTGTAATTACTGTTGATCCTGTCCTCGGTTACCAGTATGTGCCACTGCTGGAGTCCCAGGCACTTCCATTCATACTTAATTCATACTAGTCTTAATACTTTGATTTTAAGTCTTTATAGTGAATGAGATGTTAAATCTTTAGCAGATTTTTTTTTCTCAGTTGTTACTTGGGAGGGCAGCAAAAATGAGATATAAACACACTGAATAAGTCTCTTTGCATATTTCCATTTTCATTCCACCTGAGTCTGGTGCTACTCTCATTTTACTACTTCTGCAGTCGCCAGAGTTTTCACAAAGCTAGGCAAAGATTTGTATTTCTAATGCTCGAAAAAAAAGAAATGCTCAGAGTTACTCGGAAGAAGAACGTGGAGTATGTGGAATGGAAAATATGTTAACATTAACTGAAATATCCTACTCGTTGGATTTCATCCCTGCATTCTGAATAAGTAAACTGGAAAATTCTGAGTACAGGAACATTTGTTTGAATACAGCAATTGTGCTCAGGACTATATAAAACATAAATGTTTGGTCCAGATGTGAGTGGCTTTTGGATGGTGGTTTGTGTTTCCAGAAATCTTTGAGGAATACTTGTACAAGATATGGAAACTGGGTCAAGATGTTAAGGAAAAACATGAATGCTTGCAAAGGCAGCATGAGGAGTAGAAAGGGAAGTTGGGGGAGGAACAGCATGTAAGTAAAATGGAGAGCATTACATGTAGGTTGAAGCTGTGTTGTGAAAGAGTTTTATTTCAGTTTAACTTGTACAAATCACTCGTTTTCAAACTGCATATTAATTATGCAAGAGAAGCATGTCTTCACATGTTTAGTTATCGTTATAATTACATTCCTACAAGCTGTATCAGCTTCTCTGGTGCACGTACTGCTGAGCTTATCTCCAGAGTAGGTGGATTGTCCCACTCATAAAAATGCCCAACATACATTTCTACTTGAGAAGTAATAGGTAAAACATTTGCCACTGCAGAGAAGTATCTCTCTGGCTTGCAATCTCTTGTCATTTTAACAATTTTTAGAGTATTGCATATGAAACTATGGAGTTTCTTTTGTTTCTGATCTAAAGTCTTTCTTTTCAAGATGCTCCAAAATCGGGCTGTTTGTTTGCATTTTTGTTCTTGCCCTTCCTAGGATATTCTACCCAAGGTTCATTCCAGATTGCTCCCTTAGTCTGCCTAATCACCCCTTAATTATTTTGTTGTCAGTTAGATGTTCAAGGGTTTTATCTTCCCAGTTGCTATACATTTTATTCCTTTCTATTGAAGGCATTGTAGAGTTTAAAGAATTGTGTTGGCCAGTTTCAAGTATAATTTAGACTGTTGTTTGTTTTGGAGGGGGTATGCAAAAATAATAATAAAAGAAACCTCCTCTGGGATCTTTGTACGGGATGCAGTAATAATATGGAAGACTATTGTCAAAAAGTCTACAGAATATCTACAGTTTATAAACTTCTATGAAATCAAGAACGGAAAGATTCTAGTTTTGAAATGTATCCTTGTCTGTAACATAAAAGGCGTATACAGGTAATTCAGTTCTTAAAAGTGATGAGGCCAGGCTAAATCTAAATGCTTATAGCTGAGCTATTTGATTTCAACACTTATCTCAATAAAAGTAGAGGAAGTTAGCTAAACAATGCTGTTGGTGTAACCAGCTATTTAAAGCACGTCCATGTACAGAATAGTGTCAGCGTTATTGCCGTGTGACAGGCTGGCTCACATTTTGTTGGAGAAAAGCTGTTCTGTTGGCGGAAAGTTAAAATATAGCGTTACTTATAATATTTCATCATTACATGTTTTTAAGGCTGGTCATCATCCTTCTGGGTTTGAGATGAAAACAACTGTAATATTAAAGGATATTTTGGGAAACTTGTCTGACCCCTATACGAGTCCTGATTGATGGACTTAGTCACCTTGGGGATGCCATGCAAAAAATAAATAATTTTTTTTTTCCTTTTTCTTTTCATCACCTCAATTCCGATAGGGTGGCACTCGGCCTCCACTAGATGCCGATGTAAATCTTGAAGATATTGCTTATAGTCCAAACTGTGATTGTTACACGTGAGTAGCTTCTGGTTTTGACTTTAATATCTGCAATACTAGCAGTCCTCTGATGCGTGATAATGTGTTACATTATTACTACAAGGACCTCTTCATTCTCAGGGGTTATAAGCATTTTCCCTTATGCCATTTTCCTCACTTTCACTTGTGCTTTTCCAAGGATTTGGTAGAAATATGTCGATGCTATAGTCTTTTTTTGTCTGGAATAGTCAATCGTCTTGTTGTAAATACAGATCAGTAGAGGCCACTCTTTCATCTTGGCTTTGCTTGGTCTTATTTTACAATGCTTGCAGATAAGAGAACCCCCTTTAAATTGTGGATCCATACATAACGATGTTGAAAGAAAATAGGTTAAACTACCACCACTAACTTGTTCTTTCACACAGTTCAAAGCAATGTATTTGACATAGGAGTGAGGGCCTATTTCAACCTTTAGTTCTTGAATACCAAACTATGTTTTTTAGGCAAGCTTGACAGCTATCTGTGTCAGAGTAATTTGCAAACCCAGTGTTCTACATAACTTCACAAAGCCTTAAGCTATTAAATGATTTATTAATGATTTTCTGAAATTCACGAAAGATAAAGTCTTTATGATGTGCTGCCTGTCACAGTATTGCTTTTGAATCTTAGTGCTGGTGATAACCCCCATTTATGATTTTTAGTTTGTCCTTGTTTTAGACCTGGAAAAGATGAGTATGTGGAAGTGCTGTACACAGTAGTGTTCCTAGAGTGCCTAGATAAGGCAGGTGGAGTTAAGCGTGCATCAGGTAGGGTTTTTTGTTCATTAGCTTTCACTAGTTTGAAGCCTTGTGAGAAGTTTTACAGCTGGAAACAAAATGTTTTGAAAGACTGATCTGACTATGTTTTGTGGACACTGTTATTTTAAGACTATGTTAATTTTATTGTTGGATCCAGCTTTGGGCAAGGCAACCCACTCGTGTAATAACGGGTGATTCCATTTGCATCTTTCATAAGAATGACACCAAAAAAGTGTATCGTGTTCCCACCAAGTGGCACAATATTACTCAGTTGTTTGGCATTTTGGAGGATGCTGGTTGGGCTTTTGCTTCTTCCCTTACTCCTTATGTATTTGGTCTTAATCTGAGGCTAAAATCTGTCCTTGGAGGACTTTATTGTGTAACAAGATTGCAGCATCAGGTGGTCCTCAGACCTCTTCCCCATGTTCTTAAGATGAACCTTCATGACAGCACAGCCTCCTTTGTCAGCTTTTATTCCCTTGGGTACACAGTAGGTTTGCTCTGCCCTCTCACTTTGTTGGGGAGGGAAGAATGCTGCCGCATATAGGAAGGGAAAGGGAAATGTGGCCCACTGTTGCTGCAGAGATCCTGTACCTAGCTCTGGAGCTAAGCACTGGGGATGAAGACAAAGATAGAGCGGGCTGGGCCATGCAGAGAGGTATGGTAAGACTAGTATCATGAATATCATTACAGTATCTACACTGATTTTTTTGTATCGGCTGGTATTCCGTACATTTAGGCTTTGTGGGTAGTACAGTATGTTATTGCCTTTCCTCGGTCAGCCTACCTATTATTCTTCCTCTTTGTGCCTGTATTGAAGACTTTGTTTGGGATGAAACGGTCTATGATACCATCACGTATTCTGAATGTGCCGTAGCTGTTGTCTGATTTCTCTGTCATTCTAAATGATTTCTGACTCCTAAATTAATACCTAGAGTACTTTATATGCTATTAAAGTGGAACTGCTGTAACCATTTGATTTTTTTGAAACGTTTTTGAATCGTTTAATAACTTGTTGTGAGATTTTGTGAAGTGTTTTTTCCCCCAAATTCCTTTGCCTTTCTTTAGTCTTTTATCATCATTTGTATCATTGATCATAGTCTCTTGCCTTTGTTGTATATGCCATCAGCCAAAGATGGGATAAATTTATCCTAAAATAATTTATGTTGTTTGTGTCTGTAGGGGGGCAGACCTTTCCGCTCTAGTGCGTGAAGCTTCAATTTGTGCCTTGAGACAGGAAATGGCCCTGCAGAATAGCAAAAGCAAGAAAGGTAAGAAAGCTTTACAAAAATCGTAATGGAACAGTGAAAAGATAAATGGAATGTAAAGTACTTGAGCTAGTTTAAAACAAACATAAAGGCCTGTGTGCTGTGTATAAATCACTGATGATATCTGACCCAAACAAAAATGAAGTCAGAAGTTTGTTTCAAGAACACATAAGAATCTTTGAATTAGATTTGGAGAGAGTACAGGGGAAAAAGGGTTATGCTGGATTTTTATCATAAATTTTTACTAAAAGAATTGAGCCTTGAACCTTTTAACCTTGAAGAAAAGTTAATGTTAAATGATATTATAAATTCAAAATGTATGTACTAGATTGAGTACTTCTATGCCTAATTTTCACATAATTATAACAGACTAATACGCTCCTTCTTAAGAGTAAAGTAACAAAAGAAATTACTGGAAAATAAGCAGTGTATGTATACAATGTTTATATATACTGCTCATTTTCCAGTAATCTTTTTGGCACTTTTCTCTTAAGTCAAAAAGCAAGCTAAGATGGAATTGTGACTTTTCAGATGACGTCCTTGGAAAATATACGAGGCTTGTATTACGATTCTGACTTTTAACAACCACATGAGTTTTAATGGCTTTGAAACATTCTTTTTCATCTAGTAGGTATCTAGTCTCATCTGTCTTTAACAACAGCAGAATGTTTGTATTTCTTGTTAAGAGCGAGCTGGTGTGTTTCTTTGGGTGGTTGGGAGGGAGAAACAAACCATAAAACCTTCATTGTTGTACGGCTTGGCTACCCATTTTGCTGCAGATAGGAACCGCAGTAAAAGCTCTCGTTTTGAGATGGAAATTCCTGAATCAAATCTGATGCATTTTGAATAATTAACAGTGAACAGGCTAAACGTAAAAATGTTAATCTCTTCAAGTCAGCCTTCAAGTTTAGGGTTGCAGCCTGACTCGGTTGTAGTATGGACTTGTCAGCTGGCTACAGATCCATAATGTGTGCGCAAGTTGGTCTGCATGTTTGCAGCAGCTATTTGTTTGGGACGCCTTTGTTTTTTGTATTCCCAAGAGGTCAGCCCTGGCAAGTATGGAAATGTGTAAGGCAGTTAGTTTCTGATTTGAAACCTTTTTCATTTGTATTTTCAAGGGTAGTGTACATACAGACTTGAGAACGTCTTGCTCCTATGCTACTGCAGGACATGCACAACTGACGCCCCTCCCACGTTGTGCACGCGGATCGCAGATGGGTGGAGCATGTGCCACAGCACTCAGTTCCTTTGCATCACTCAGCTGATTGAGGGCTCTTCCTTACTACGCTGCAGAAACTATCACAACCTCCTTGTTGTAGCTGTTTTTTTTCCTTCTGGAGTAAATTTAATGTTTTGTTGTTTTTTACAGCAGGGTTTTGCTTTTTGCTTTAGGTTTACTTGAAGGACTTTTTTATAGTGAAAATGGAAAGGTTATCCTTTTTGTGGTATCTCTTATAAGAATCTGTAAGCTCTGCTTCCACCTTGAGCAGTCTTGAGAGACCTGACCACATTAGAGACTGTAGCCTAGGAGATGCTAGATATTCCACTCTGTTCCAGAGGGCGCACAGCACACCAACGCAACTTTCTAGCAAAGATTGGGCAGCTTTTCAGTTTTGAGGTTCCCTCTGGAGCTCCTCATCATTAGCTCAGAATTTGACTGTCAGAAGTGTTCAGTATTATTTGCAAACTGGTGGCTCTGTTCTCTGGGTCATTGATGAAGATACTGAATAAAACTGGTCCTAGCACCACTCCCTGAGTGGGGCTCCGCTTCTGACTCTTCCCTATCCTGAAAAGGAACCATTAAGCCTTACCTTTTATTTCATATCCTTTAGTCAGCCTTCAGTCCATAGAAGGATCTTTCCAGCAATCCTGTGAAGTTCTCCAAACTAACAGTCCTCTGGTGGCTGTAACAATAGGCTACAAGATTTGTCCAGCAGCTCTGCACTTTCATAGCCAAATTCCTTCAGAACCCTTGGGTGAACACCTTCTGGTCCTGGTGACGTGCTGTTAACAACTCTTCTGACCTTTCTTAGGTTAATACTTCCTGAATATTTACTTCAAAGTAATCTAGCTTCAAAGGACGTACAGAGTATGAGACTCTTGTAACAACTTCAGCTGTGAAAACCAATTTAGTTCAGTGAACTTTGATTTTGCTACTTTAATGAAAATAATAATCGTTGTGGGCTATCTACTCACGTTCTGTATCTTCAGTAAGTTCCCTGTCTTCAATTTAGTGCTCTCTGTAGTCTCCTGCTGTGTTTAGAGCAGGAGAACTTAACAGTTTATGTTAATTTAAACTCACAAAAATCAAATATAGTAACAAGGAGTCTTGGTTAACAGTTCTTTAATGTCCACATATCCCTTTCACGTTACAAACAGGTATGCAAGGGTAGTGGCAAAACATACCTCTGGAAGCCAAATATGTCTTAATGGAGTGCATAAAAAACATACACCAAAATGACTCTAAAGCTGATACCTGTGTAGGATGCTGTTATTGTACTTCTGTATATCACAGAATCACAGAACGGTTGAGGTTGGATGGGACCTCTGGAGATCATCTAGTCCAACCGCCCTGCTCAAGCAGGGTCACCTAGAGCACATTGCACAGGACTGTGTCCAAGTGGGTTTTGAATATCTCCAGGGAAGGAGACTCCACTACCTCTCTGGGCAACCTGTTCCAGTGCTCTGTCACCCTCACAGGAAAGACGTTTTTCCTCATCTTCAGATGGAACTTCTTGTGTTTCAGTTTGTGCCCGTTGCCTCTTGTGCTGTCGCTGGGCACCACGGAGAAGAGGCTGGCCCCATCCTCTTGAGACACTCCCCCTTCGGATACTTGTACACATTGATGAGATCGCCTCTCAGTCTTCTCTCCTCCAGGCTACACAGGCCCAGCTCCCTCAGCCTTTCTTCAGAGGAGAGATGCTCCAGTCCCCTCCTCATCTTTGTAGCCCTCCGCTGGACTCTGTCCAGTAGTGCCATGTCTCTCTTGTAGGGGAGAGCCCAGAACTGGACACAGTACTCCGGATGTATTTCCCTTCTATTCAGCCCTGGTGAGGCCACAGCAGTGGTATTTTGGGATTCTTATGTCTAGGCTAAATAAGGTACTTACTTGTGAGATCAGAGAAATCAATGCTTTGAGGTATGCTTACACATAGCAGACTTCTGAGGAGGGGGAAAAAAAAAAAACCACACACACACACCTGTTCCAAGAATATGATTAGAAATAATTCTTGTGGATGGCTGCATTAGGAAAAAAGGGATATGAATAAACTTAAAGATAGGCAATTGAAAAAGTGAATACAAAACTTTCGTTACATCTGGATAATTCCAAACAAGGGGCTGATATGAAGTGAATTATTTAGGAATTAAGTATTCTGCAGTCAAAGGGGGATGATACAAAAGGTTTTCTAGGTATCTATTAAAAAAATGCTCTGTAGGGACATTTAATATTAAGCAGGGGTACAGAAAATAAAGCCCCAAACTGGAAGCAGCAGGACTTGAGAGATTCACATCCCAAAGGGTTAAGATATTTGAATTCTAACAGGATTTGATGTAAGCTGTAGTTCACTCAACATCTCTGAAAATGAAATTCCTGATCTGCAGGTGAAAAAGTTAATACAAACAAAAATTAAACAAAAATACTTTGGCATAAGGTACAACTAATGCAGAGGTTAATAAGTTGCTTAAGGTGACAGACAGAAGCCTACATTAAAAGTAATATAAAACTTCAGGTGTTCATGACTACTTAGATCTTATCCAAAAGACTGTAGCACGTACAGTTAGACTTCATGAATGTTGCCTTGAAATACATGCAGAAGAAATCACATGATTGTTACTTGTCCCCAGTTTCATATAGCAATTTATTGTGCTTTTTTCTTTAAGGAGAAATCAAGATTTGCCATAAACACTTTGAAGAAGCTTTTAAGAAAGTGAAATCCTCAGTATCAAAAAAGGTGAGAAAAGCTTCCAAGTAAGAAAGACCACTCCCTTTCAGAAAGGATACTCTTCATATGCTAGTGACTGGTGGAAATAGTTAAGGTTAGAATATATTTGTATTTGTATGAAACAAATGCCACTAAACCTATTTCTGCTTTTAAAAAACAAAAAACAAAAAAAGAACCCTCCCCCCCCCCCAGCTTTTCACAAGTGCAGAAACTAAAGTTTCCATTTTCAGATGCAGATGATACATAGCAACATTCTGGGTAGACTGATTACCCTGCTGTCAAGGTTATCTTTAGGTTTAGCATCTTGGACTTTTCATTGACATTTCCAGATTAGTTACTGACCTGGCTCTAACCTCTTTCGCTTATGGAATTTTCAGTTAAAAGTAAAGGCTTTTAGACTGCGTCTCACTTTGCTACCACCTTTTCTCCCCTATATGGATGTGTCACCCAAAGACACTCAGTCATTTCTGCTAATGTACAAAAGATAAGACATCATTTTGAGATAAGACACAAAAACACTTTATCACCTTAGTAATGTAATCAGTCTTTCCATTATTTGCATTTGTCAAGGAAGTTTGTGTTTTAAAGGTCACTTCATGGCCTGTTCTTTTAACTGCCTGGAAGGTAAGCTGTTCAGTCATTTCAATCATTATCCTTGAGAAATTACCAAATGTAGAAGTTATGCTGCACAGTTTATCTCTGTTTAAGTTTAGATGTATTGCTGACAGTGTACTTTAGTCAAAATACATTAATATGTTCATTTTGAACGCTAACCAGAGAAAAGCTAACTATTCCAGTTCAGTATTATTACATAAGTGCTGATGGTACGGTAGCCTGGACTTATTTTCATAAATAATTTAAAGGTGATCTTTGACTCCAAGCCCCTTGAAAACCCTCCCCCGTCCCCTCCCCCCCCAGTCACTTAGCAAGTTGTTTAGGAACTGGTAAGTTATCAGGACATACTCTCTGTGGCTTTTAAGAGTTAGTCAGAAATGTCATTCTGCATCTCAAAGGCAGTTTAAGTATTACATGTCTCAAAGCCCCATATTGCAATTAAATTCATCTGAGTAATTTTCAGTTAAATATTTTGAAATATCTTTTGGAGTACAAGATACTCTTCTCCCATTTTGAGCTGCTGCTGCTTAGCTGGCAGACAAGTCTGATCTGACAAAGCAAAAACTCTACATCCATTCTCCTGTGAAGATCAGAAACCGCAAAAAGCTGCATCTCGCTGGTTCAGTGCTGCATTTAAACTTATTCTTATTTTCCCTCTCATAAACACTTCTGACTTCAGTTGGCTTGCTTTTGGCTTAATTGGTTGATAGATTTGAGAGAAATCAAAACAAGTTCTTCTAAAGCTATGGACAGATGCCATCTTTTGTATTCTGTTTTGTCAGTGGAAGTTAATGTCCCAAATTACTCACTTCCTCAAAACTGTCATTTCCAGTGACTTATGAAAAGAATTAAAAGAACAGTGACAGTTAAATGAACTAGACTGTATACAAAGTTTAAATAGTGTATCTATTAGATACAGATCGAGGAGTACCGCCACTGGAAATTAGAGCAGTAGCTTTTTAGTGAAACTGTTCTAAGCCTAGCATGGTAGCGTGAAGTGTAAGAGTTCTGCCACAAAGGCTTTTGTTAATTATATATTGCTGGTGAATATATATATTCATGAGGGGCTGCTGTGGGGGGGGTCCTAAATACTTCTGAAAAAGATACCGCTAGCGGTTCACATAGCTCATTTATTTCATTTTCTCATTAGGTAACATATGTAAAGTCACAATATTGCATTTATTTTTACTGTCTGCCTGAAGTCTTTCCTCTCTTATCTTGGCACTGTTAGGATCAAATAATGTACGAAGAACTACGTCAGTCACTGCACAGATGATGCATTTGGACATTTCCCAAAAGAGACGTACTGTATGTTGGTGGAGAATTTCATAATACCTGTGCCTGATTTCAAGAGAAGCTGTACCAGATCTTTGACTTTTTAATCTGCACCTGAAAAAAGGTCACTGGAACCTACTGCTCTAAACCATCCTTAATTTAGCTACTTCCAGAATAAGAGGTAGAAAAAACACTTTCCCTTTCTGCTCATCATTATTTTGGCTAAAAATAAATGCTTTTAACCCTAAAGACTTAATATCGTTGTAATAGTTGGTGCCCTTAATCAGAGATCCTTCAGAGAAAGAGAGGCTAAGCCTTCAAAGTGTTACTCTGCTCAAATACCTGTTTTCAGCCATAAATGAAAATAGCTGTGTTTTCGAGAACAAGGACTCTGTAAGAATTATTGTGAGAACAGAGCTGTGAGAGTAGATGAGGAAAGTGCTACCCTATGTTATTATGCCATTAATCATGCCTTTCCCAAATATGGTGACGTACGATGATTGTGCCAGAGCAGGTTCTCAAAGAGTTTCTTAAAACTTCCTTTCACCTTATCAAAAGAAACCAGCCTGGCAAGCTGTTTTAATGTAATCTAAGAGAATAAAGCTTGGACATCTCAGGAATGTTAATATGCATATGACAATATGCATATAATATCATATTATAAATATATCATATTTATAATAATAAGTAATGATATGATTTAACAGCATATAAGAAAATTTCGAATTAACTAACAGGCTGCTTCTTAATTCTTAAAATAGACAAAAATTGCAACAACAAAAATCCTATTTCTGATTTCAATTTCTTAACTCTGTGTTTTGACGAACGCTCTGAAGGGGAAAAAATCGTACTATTCTAAGAAGCAGGCCAAGAGAGAGCCTCAAGCTGAGATTCTTCCACAAAAGCTGTTAATAGTAATATATTAGCCCACAACCAAGACGAATGATCTTATTTTGTAAAAGTGAACTTAAAGAAAATACACACACACAAAAAAAAGCACCTCACCTCATTCTTTTTACATTCATTCCAGATTTTCTAATAATTCTTGAGTTTTTGGTTCCTGATGTCTCTAAAATGCTGCCAGAAATCAGTTGATAGCATTTTTCAGTATGTTCTTCATCAGATGCACTTATTTTTATTTGCTCTTGCAGTAAGGTCATAATAGAGAACGCCACGCTTTTCTGTAATACAAGGAATTCCATCTTGGAAAGAGGGACGTAACATATTTCCCAGTTTGCTGATGCTGGATCTCAATTAAGACAAAACACTGTGCTACAAGTATTGGGCAACCATCTTCTGAAACCCAGAAGCCTTCATACATTTTTGCTGCTGTCATGGTTTTACACTTAGAAGAGCTGCTTAAAGCAACATTAATCTCAGCTACAATCTTTGATCAGCCTTATTCTTCCTAAAAGCAGGGCAAGTATCAGAAAAGGAAAGGGATTTTTTTTTTGTTGTTGCTAGCAAGTTACGTAGTTTAAAGTTTGCTAACACTAAATTTCAAATACTTTTTAAACTGGTGATATTTCCATGTAAAAACAGTAAAATAGTTTTTTGTAAGCAACAATTTGTTCGGTAAGCATCCCTTCTACTTAATGTTCAGGAAGAAGATGAGTCTCCTACTCATCATAAAATTTTTGTCAACATAAAATTACAATTGATTTAATGTAACAGACTGCCATGAATTCAAAGTTTGACTGGTTGCGACCCTGAAATACCTGAACTAACTTCAAAATTGGCTTTGCTTTGAGAGGGAGAATGGATGAGATGACTTGTAGCAGTCCCTTCCAACCTAGATCATTCTGAGTTGTGTGTCAAGACAGACTAGAGCGTCTGCCTGCACAGGTGAACTCTAGTTGACTGTTCACACAGGAAGTGCTGCACCCACGCTGCTATTTTGTCTTGTTGGAAATTCTGCTTAGACTACACTACTCATGATAAAAAACTTGGCAAGATATAAAATGCAAGATAACTTGTGCTTGCACATAGAAAGTGAGCATCACTTTAAAGAACAAGACTTCATATAATAAGAGACCGCTACTTTGTTCTGCATATGCAGCTATCTATCTCCTTCCTAGTAAACATGCCTAGAGGAAGTTTTCCCTCTAGTCATCTTGTTTCTGTTGGGTAAGATCAAGAAATTGTTCAGCATGTCATTCCTGTCTCCCCTTTCCTGAGGCTAGCCACATATCTAAATCATAATAATGATTTCGTACCAGAGCATATTAGATGCCAACTTAAGCATGGAGGGGGGGGGGGGGGGGGGGTGGAAGACAGGGCAGGGAGCTGTTAGCAGAGGGGAAAAAAAGATACCACCCCTAACGCTGTCTTCGTCGTTGGCTGAATATGAAACATTTTCAACATTTTTGTCCTCACTGAAGTCTTGTGTACCGTTGCAGGTTTATGAAATGGAGGGTTTAACAGAAGAGATGATAGGTAATTGCATATGCAGAGTGGCAGGTTGCTCTATGATGCATACCTACATTGTAGAGACACTGTTCATCTCTACTTGTACAAGGTCCCAGGAAAACAATCTTGGCACATGCAGAAAAGGCCGTGCTTTGCAACACGTAAGCTAAAACAGCTCTTCAAGTTAGGAAGGAGTACTGTGTCTATCTTTTACCTCTTATTAAGAAAGATTGCTACCTGAAAGCAGCTTTTCTCCTTTTTGTCCAACAGGGCTAATGTGGCAGCTTGAAACTTCATGCATAGCATTGACACTTTAGGCAGAAGAGTCGTCAATGACCAGATAAATGAACAGCATAACACCAGATCATTGGTTGCTGAAATCCAGCATTAGATTTTAAAGCTATTTTGCTTTTCTTACTCTAAGATGTCAGTTCCATCTGATAATAGAATATATGCCAAGGAAGCAGAGGTACACCACTGAGCTCAGTCTCTAACACAATGACTGTTTACCTAGAACAGATTGGTTTCTCAACACTTGTAGATTTAATTGCTTAGTTGCTTGGTGGCTGCAGATGTATTTTAAGACAGATACAGAAGCAGAAGTGATTGATAGCTACTTTTCAACTAACCCGTGGTTCTAAGTGAAGAGATTTGCCCTGGATCTGAAACTGGAATTGCACAAGCAAGAAAGGTACATCCGTTCCACACATGATAATTGGCCACTGTTCTGGAGCAGACAGGTTCAACAGCAAAACAAGAATGCCAGAGGCAGGACTTGTTTTGAAAGAGGAATATCCACACCTGTCTGGTGGGAAAACTCATGCATATTATGATCAGACTCCAAGGTGCATTGCTAATTCCACTTAGCAGCTGAGCAGTTTCAAATAATTGGGGGGTAAACGTCACATAAGGCAGTTTATGCCAAAAACCAAGTTACTGCAAAAGCCCTGAAGGGGATTCAGAACCCTAAACAATTAAATTACAGCAGAAATCCTTGATGATATACCTAGCACAGTCAACCCAGTCAGTTTTGTTTTGACAGTTACACACTCCAGGCTGATTTCACATAAAGAAAGGGGAGGATGGGTCCCACTGACAAACTAGTAAGATGCATTAGTTATGTAGAAAGGAATAAACCTTAACAAGCATGTGCAAAGGACAAGACATTAACTCCATCTGAATCTGTTTTCTTAAAAAGTGGCAATTAAGTCACTCAGGGTCCTTAATGCCCTTAGGTTCAGTTTGTTCATCACTGATTATTAGTCAAAGCTTCCTCCAAATTTCAGGTAAGTATTCAAAAATATACTCAGCTGTTCCTGCCAGGTATATTTTAATGGCATTAATAAAACTAGTTAATTCCTTAAAAATGGTAATTAGGTTTTACATGTACAAAAACTAAGGTTTTTTAACGTGTGTTATTTGTGCCATGCCTTTGGACTGAACACCTTAAAGAGTGTGACTGCAAAGAGTTAGTTATTCATTTAGAATATATCAAATGCAACACGCGCTACAGCTAGGCTATAGTCCTTTTGCCAGTCGTTCAGAAGCGTTCCTAACTCCCTTTTTAAAGAATAAAATGATGTTGCAGTATAGGTGCCTATCTATCTTTCAAATGATCTGCTTCTAGCAAAAATCCCTACTCCAAGAGTTAGATAAGGCTTCTTACATAATGCATAGGAATTAGTTGCCTGAGAATGGTACTTAGCAGCACTTGCAATCCAAACATAACTTTTACTGGCAAAGATTAACCTAGTCCAATAGATTCCCTCCAACAGGTAGCTGTTAGCACATCTCCCTCAGAATTCCCTGCTTTACTGCTCTTACAGCAATATCTCTGTGCTTTTATCCAGAGGGGGACATTCACAGAACAACATAAATCAATGTTTTCCTTTTCAAAAAGAGAAGCAGCAACTCCAGGCTGGTTTAGAAGCAGGAATTCACACTTGCACTTTCTCTTTGGGAGTGACAGTAAGGGGCATCAGTGATTCCGTGACATAGGTAGCCAAGCCTAAGGACAAAATTTCAACTCAAATCCCTCAGTTATTCTGAAGGAATATTCCTCAACTCTAGCTATCTTAGGTATAGAGGCTACAGAGGTTACTTTTGGAGGCTTTCTGTACTTCATTCAACTATGGTAAGCCTTCGACACTGAAGAGCGTTACCATTATTCACTTCTTAAATTGAAGAACAACCATGCAGAAGGGACTTCAATGCTTAAAGTTGCAAACTAATCTAAGTCTTTAACACCAGTTTTCTTCCAAGCAGAAAGTAAAGGCAGTGATTCTTCATAGTTCATTCTGTAACAGTATTCAAGAGGACAGGTCTGCTTGCATCTGCTCTCATAATACTAAATTCCTCTAAAACATGAAGCCCTTCAGCATTAGGGGGACCAGTCAAAAATCCACCCAGTGTTACTTTTTAAATCTGCTTTTAATTAGATTTAGAAGTATTGGATAAAGTATATTTTGACATTACATCTCCCCTGTGCAATATATGCTGGCTAGCTACCACATCGCTGGCATGATAATGATGTCACTTTAAGTGGCTGGCACACTTTCATAATGAGACTGTATTTATACCATTTCTATCACTTAGCTAGATATAAGGGCCCAGGCTTTAAACAAAAAAAACCCACAAACAGAAATCCCCAGCAACACATTAAAGACAGAATTGCAATCAAGCGAGGGTTCTTGCTTGACATTCTTGTCTGGCACTCCGCTTCTTCCACGGCTTGAAGAGAAAAATGCAGGAGTTAAAGGCCTCCAGAAATTAAGTTACTTACAGCAGACCAGTGCAGATGGTGGTTGACAACCTTCAGACTCCATCTTTTAGGTAAGTGAAGAACACACCACAGACTCACCATTTGATATTTTAGGGTGTTTTGTACTAGTCTGACAGCTTAAAACCATCAATGCATTGGATAGAGGGCAAAAATACTGGGCTGACACATGGCCGTTCTTCAGTGCTCAACAAGTCTATCCGTTCTCTGTTCCCAATATAAAGACTTCTTTAACAGGAAATTCAGTGGTACCACAGCTCTGATCTTACCACATGTTAATATACAAGGCCAGTGTTTATCTAGGGTACTGTAGGCTAAAAAGCCCAAGATCATTTAGCAACACTGTTCTGCATGCGCAAGTGACTAATGTGCCTAAAAGCTAGTTGCCAACAACTGTAGCTAGTATTATTTACCAGAACAGTATCTGCTTCAGTTGATTAAGTCTTCCCACACAAGCCAGATTTCCAAACAAGAAGAGAAATATGAGTTAGTGTTTGAAGCCATGGTAACAATAGAACCAACTAGAACAAGCCTACTCATTTTTCTTTGCAGCTCACAAAACCCAAACCTTAGCAGTAAAATTTTCCCATATGCAAAAGCCTGATGAGTAAGTCACAGTAAGTTGCCTAGGGGGCTTACACAGTAAGATTCTAAATACTAGTTGCTGCAGCATTGTATGCTAATACACACAGCTGAGGAAGTTGGTGGGGACCTGCAAAGTTAAAGATACCTCTGAAGTCCCTGCCCTTTTACAAGAAAGTCACACAAGCCTTCTAGAATGTGCCAGTTCCATTCTAACTGATGGATTGCTCCTCTAAGATCATTTCAGTGGCATAGGTGGAACGTGTTGAAGTAATGCTTCAGTGACATGTTACCGCTTTAAAAAAGCGGTTTGAAATATTTATGTGCAAATTTCCTTCTCCCACCCTTGAATTAGGAAGCAAGTTCAACAGAAGATTTAACTTAACAAATCATGTTAGTTTAGAATTAACAAGGCAAGTACAGCATCTAACACTACGGTCATCTAAATTAGTAACAGCCTGTTGTGGGCAGTGTACTACATTGAGAACTTTTTACTGTTTTAAAGAGTCACATATTTTGTACAGATTTAACACCTGCCAAAGTAAATCCTGTAACAAAGTGATTTAGTATTATGCATATAATACTGATCCTTAGGCAAACATATATATGTTAATACAATGAATCTGAAGACTCCTAGGAATGTTATAGCTGGCAGCAGTCTACTTTGTTGCCAAGTCCTTACAGATGCATTACTGTGTTGCTGTAGATCTTAATTCAGGGTATAAGTGAACATCGTCAGCAAGGGACTTTGTACCAGCCACTTCAAAGCAAGCAGACATTTCAGAGGTTTTTTTTTGGTTGCCAGAAGTTTAATCTTGTTTCACTTCACCCTTTAATTGCCTTTTCATGCGTGAATATGGGCTGATTGTATCATCCATCACGAAGTCATAAAGCACTTTTATCCAAGAGTTATACTGTGGCAGGTTGTCGTAGTATTCGGCTGCTATTTTCTTCACCTAAAGGGAGATAGGAGGTTCATTTACTATTTCAGTTCCCATTATGACAACTTCTACAAGCCTCAGCCTGTATCTTAATATGGAGCACTAGAAGTTTCTTTTCAGAAGTTACACTTTAAAAGAAAAATATCTTCTGCTGGTACTACAATGTGAAAATTTCTTGGAAGAAGAGAAACAACTTCTTAGTTATTCAGTAAAATTCATGTGAGGGCTGTAAGCTGTAGAAAGCAACTAGAACAACTCAGCTAGAACACTGAAGTCCATACACTGCTACACCTTGCAGAATGATGTAGCTCACTGACTCAGAAAGAAAGCAAGTTGGATTGCTAGTGGAAGCAGGACTTAATTCAGAGCTGAGTCATATCTATACAAGTATCATTAGAAATGTAAAATCAAGAGTTGCTTTTAACAGCTATTTTCACATGTAGTTTCAAACCTCAGCCCTCAGGGGAAAGCACAACTAATTTCTGAGGACAAGCACTAAGGAATTAGTGTAAGCACTTGCAAAGACTTCACTCTTGGGTGTGCAGTCTGACTAGATCATCTTTTCTTAAACCAAAAGTGCTGGAATTTCCCTCAGATATTGGTGATCTTTAACACCAACCGTACAAAGCCTTAGAAAAAAATAATCTGAACAGAAGAAAACTGAGGTTTCGCCAATTCTATAGTTTTAGGCTATAGACTGTATAAGCAACAGTTTTGCTACCTAATCCAGATATTTGCATGCTTGGCTAGGAGCTGAAGATAATTTTGACACCACACCTAAGAAGTTATACATCTAGTCAGTTTACCTTCTTTCAACAGTATTTTCATCTGACTAGTATCCCAGCTGGAATCAAGTTTTCAGTACTTCAGTATCTTTAGCATACAGCATAGCAAAGTCCAGTCCAATCAAATTAACTACACTGTTCCAAAAGAAGGCTTTGTTTTCTTATCAAAGCTGTGGATTAACAGCCCTGCAGAGCTTTTTTTTTTAAAAAAAAAAAAAAACAACACTCTGCAATTAAATACTTTAAGAAAAAAAATCCCTATTTAAAACTTAAGTAGGGACACATGAAGTGAAAGCCAGGTTCACCAGCACAGATCTAGGTATCAAAGGTAGCCCCAAACAACTTCAGCTGCACTTGAAAGCTGAAGTCCATGAATAAGAGACATTCCCCCCACCCCCATCCTAAAGTCTCTACAAATAAGTTACAAAATTTGACTGCCCTGCCAAGGAAACGCTGGAGCGAGGGAGGGATTTCTTCTACCATTCCACCACCAATTACAGCAGTGTGACAATTTTAAGTTTAGAGTACATCAAAAGGAGAAACTTACCAGGTCTCACCATTACTGAGTGCAGTAACAAAGGTGCAAGGCCAACACTGACCACTGTCAAACTGACTATTTAGTGTGCAATGAAAAATACTTTTCACTGAAGGTAAGTTTTAGGTGTACTCTGGAAACCTGTGCTCTCATACTCCAACTGGGAAACACATATACAAGAACTGAACTCCCAGTTAAACTGGGGAAAGGTAACAGTGGGAAGAAAGCAGTATGAAAATCCACATCAGCTACTCATGCAGGCATGGCATGTCTACATCTTATCTTGAAAGCTTTAATTGTCAGTATTAGCTGACACTGGTATTCTTTAGAGTTCAGAGATCCTCCGTAGAAGAAACTGAGCTGCTCCAGAAGAGAAAGCTATTAAAAATTTGTCAGTAGTACAAATATTAGCAACACCTCAAACCTCTTTTCCCTAGAGGGGAACGTAAGCTTGAATCAATGACTGTGCATCAATGATAAACTGAAGAATAAGCATGTGTTACCATATTTTACTTAAAATGTCAAGAACAGAGGAAGCTTACAAATCTCTGCAGGTTATCTACAACTTAACTAGTTTCACATATATGTCCAAACTGAAAAAGAATACCGAAGGCTAGCTGTAGTTACAGAGAACAAGAAGCTAGTGCAAAAAATAAAAAGAGGATATCATTTCCTCCCATGCATTTCCTCTCATCTCCCTTTATGGGAGAGGCTAGAGCAGAAAGCACATTAGTAAATCTATTCAGGATACCGCTAAAACAGTAAGTTGAGTAATTAACGGGTAATTACTTACTACTAGAAAAAGCATGAAAATCTAACTTCCGATCTTTTTAACTTTTAAGGGTTTGCTAGCAGTATTCTACCAGTTCTTCAAGTTAGAGTGGGCTTAGTTTAAGAAAAGTAAACTTACCAGTGGAAGACTCTTGCCAGGAATATTGGGAAAGTCATGGTGTTCATTGTGATAACCAACATTAAAAGTGAGCAAGTTAAGTGGCCCATAGTAGGAATAAGTCTCATGTCCCTTTAAGAACATGTAATGTTCAGCTATGAAGTGTCCTGAAATTGGGTGCAACCCAAGTCCAAGTACTGAACCTGCGAGCATGTAACAAACTGATTTGACTCCCCATAAGTAGTATATCACGACATCAAAAGAAAGCTGAGCCAACAAGTTGATGACTTCCAGGCGAGTGATTGGTTTGGGGTTGATGCAGAGAGGTCTAATCGCATAGAAAAGAGGCTGAAGAACAATCCACGTGAACTTCCTAAAACGGGTGCAGAAAAACCAGCCTTCAAAGTTGGTGGGAATGTCCACATCAATTCCATCACCTCCTAAATAACGATGATGATCCATGTGGTATCTCTTGAAGGATACCGAGTATGGGACACCCAGAGGGAAGTTGGCAAATATTCCAAACCACCGATTCCACATTGCTTTGTTGTTGCCAAAGGCACTGTTGTGAGAGATCTCATGAATAGCTAAAGTCATGGAGTGGCTAATGCAGCTTCCAAAAACATATGCCCAAAAGATCACCCACTTCCAGTCCAAGTCTTTCACTAGATAAAACGCAACCAACTGCGCAAGAACCATCAGCACAACCACCCAGATCAGATTGTTGTCTGGCTTCATCAATGCTTTTATCTCTGGATGTTTAGCTATATGGGAAAGAATTAAATGATAAAGGAATTATTTGGCCATGAGGCAAGCTTGCATCTAAGTATCTTAATTAGATTAAGAAAGCATATCTAGGCACCTCTTTACCTTCTCCCAATTAGGATTTCTATACGAAGGGAATGAAAATGCACCACCTCCCCACTTGTGGCACAATTTATTGTTCTAAAGGACTCCTCATAACTAAATCCTGTTGGTATTTTCGTGTTGTTCAGCAACTAGGCGTTTATAACGACCAGTACCAATATCCCTTCCAGCCTGTCTGGGAAGGAAACGGCCCGACAAGCCACGAGTTCGCTCCGAGGTTCAAGCGACGTCGAGCGCGCTTCGAGCCGC